GACATTTTTATAACAGGATTGGCTGTTTTATGTCTCTGGCTGTAACTTGTACAGTCATGCAGCACTTAATTAATGGTGCCAATGGACATTTCATGTGTGAAAAGAGCCTTTTCCCTTCTAATTTGCAGCTAAATAGACATTAGTGTGACATCCAGTCTATTTTTCCTCTTTCTTTCAGCGTCTTGCATCAGTCAGAACATATTTTAATTGAAGCTGTGCTGTGAATTCAGAAAAGAAACTTCAATAATTTATAAATTAGACAAGATAAGCAATAAAATGGTTCCCATGATGGTGAAATCTGATGCGCTTAGCGAAAGAATTTGCCAAGAATGTAAAAGTCGGAGGGTTGAAGTCGAGCCGATACCGTCGAAGGTCCGACTGTAAGCGATGCTAATTAGCGATCCGGTGGAACCGCTGGGCAGCATCTGGAAAACCAAAGTGTTTGGTTCCTTGGGGTTGCAAAGCTGAAACCTAAAGAAACTGAATCACCAGGAGTGGAGCCGGTGGTTTCATTTGACTCAACGCTGGAAACTTTGCCCAGAAATAGAAAAGACTGATAGTTTATTCTCGACTCTGTGGGTGGTGCTACAGTGCTATCGTGTTCTTAGTTGGTGGAGCGATTATCCGGTTCATACCGACCTGTACCTGGAAAAACATCCCCGTGTTGTGTGCAGGACTGACCCGGTGCTAAAAGCTTCGTAGAGGCTGCTGATCTTCTCAATGATGCTCGTGTTTGTTTACAATAATTGTCCTAATGCCTCCAAATTAATGCCGTAATGACTTAATTATGTTTATATTACAGCCCGCCGGTTCCGCGCAGGCATTTCACCCTCCACAATTAAACATCTAAAAAGTCAAACTGTTGCTCTCGACGGTGGAAGAGCGAGATCAGACAAACGCCTTTCACACCTCTGACACCTGGTTTATTCCTGGGCCGACACCAGTCGGGCTTAAAGCGCCGGCGCCGGAGGATGAAAGAAATAAAACGCCGCCGAGAGAAGAGAAAGGGCCAAGATGGCTGGCGGAGCGCAGAGACAGCTCCTGTGTGGAAACTAAAGATGATTTTCCTTTGATGTAGCAGATGCACACATCCATAACAGGCCCTCGGAGGGAGGAAGGAGGATATACCTGTCGCCTTTATGCCTCCTTCTTTACAGCAGAAATATGAAATTTAATGAGAGGGGAGGCCGCATGACAGGGACACAGAGGCTGAGTTAACATGGAAGTGAAGAGTGCTGACCCGCAACCTCATCTGGAAGTACAACAGCACTCCATAACAAGCACATTTTAGAGGCTCAAGGCGGAAACCGGAGTGAGAAGAAGCTGGTTTATAGTTTGCTGTGTGAGTTAACCCTGAGATGGAAGTTTCTCACCGCCCTGAATTCAGATGTGTTCAAACTGCATCAACAGCTTCCACGTACCAAACAAGAAGTTTACGCACATTATGAAGTACCTCATTAGAAATAGTTCATAAAAATGGTAGAAACTGATAAAAAGCTTTGCACCAAGCTGAGACAGATACAGATTTGAGGTCTAACTTGGGAACCCAGTGGAGCATTTAGCGGCTGAAAGGCTAATTATATTCCCCAGGATGTGGTGGAGACCAAAAACGGAGTTAAAACATTGTCAGTCTTTAGTTTGCGGCTGGTTTCTGATGAAGTCTGTGCCGGTCATACAACCCCCAGGCTGGCATTGTTGGGTTTAAAGATTTTTAATACAATTTCACCGCTGTGTTTCTGGTTGGCGTCCATGTTTGTTTTTTCTCCTAGCAGAAACCTAGTCACAACAGAACAATGGTTCGGTGTGTTGTCGTGATGTCACGACACCAAAATGATGACTTCAGTTTAATATCTGCCTAAATGTCGCGATACGAGGGACGTCCTGATCAAATGTTCTTGCACCTAATACAATCCAAGTTGATTATTATTTATTAACCGCACATACAAAGTCCTATACCAATATGATGACATGTTTCATGTACAGTGAAGTTATTAAAATCAATCCAATGTTTGTGCTTGACACCAACTGGTGCGTCCGAGCTGTTGATTCATGTTCTGTAGGTGTTCAGGAAGCTTGTCTTAAATCTCCTCCAGGTAGTGAAACGTAGCGTTAGAGGGTTGGATGTACTGTGGCTCCACGAGCTCCACATATATGAAAATGTCAGAACATGTGTTGTAGATCAGCTGTAGTACCTGGTTGTTCCACCAGGTGGAGTCACTCGGACTACAAGTAGTTCATGTTGGCAAGCAGAGGGGATTGTGGGGGTTTAGCTAGCAGTGGGCACCATGACAAAGACTTCTGTGGTGGTTAATGAACTCCAACCAAAGCTAATGAGTTTACCGACCTTTACAACAGTTGTGCGAAAACGGATGCANGGCACCATGACAAAGACTTCTGTGGTGGTTAATGAACTCCAACCAAAGCTAATGAGTTTACCGACCTTTACAACAGTTGTGCGAAAACGGATGCAAACAAAAAATCGAACTAAGGTTTGTGCAGATGCCGGTCATTTATCAACTCTCAAACATGTAGAGGTCACTGGTTAGTGGAGCGATACCAGAATTACAGCTTCAATACCATAACTAAATAATAACTTTAAATGTACGTACACTGCTAGAAACAATACCGCAGCAAGGACCTCAAACAACTGAAAGTGTAGAAGTGGAGGCCTCACATGCACGGAGAAGGAGATCAAATTTATTCCAAGTGTTTTGTGAGAAAGAAAATGGAAAACCGAACGAGGTAGAAATTGGAACAGTCCACTAAAACTTCAGTTTAGTGTTTAAATTGATTGAAAGGTTTCCCATCACGCTGCTTTTATGTGCAGGTAATTTCAAAAAGTTGGGTTTTCTAAGTGCAGTGCTGTTTGGTGGAACTGGCTCACAAGGACTCAAAGAATATTCAGATTTCTTAAAAAAAAAAAGCAACCTTTTCACTCTTTGGGAAACTCTTTGGTTGCTGCCCTGCTGTGCCTTTTAAAGTCTGTATATGTTCCCAGCTGTTCCTGTAACAGTTTCTAAAAGTCTGCATTGCGGCCATTAGACTCTTGATATCTGTGGATAGGTAATTTAAGCGAGCAGGTGGTTAGAGAGATAAGTCTTTTCACACTAATAAATCCCTTTGCAATGAAGCGAACTGAAGTGAATTCAATTTGCGGGGAGCAGAAACACAGGGGATGCGCCAGTCAATTGACCACCAATCAGAACTATCTGATACCGGCTGTAAAACCAGCCACTGGCCGCCTGATCGGAGGGGAAATAAATGAACATGATGAGACTTTTAAGGGTTTTGATTTATCGGACGCGAGGCGGAGGCGGTGAAAATTTGATGAGAAACAGTTTAATGATGCAAACGTTTGAGTGGAGAGAATGAATTTGAGGCAATCGGTCAAGAAGAAGCTGCATCTGTGGACGGCGGCGCCGGGCGAAGATTGTTTGTGCGCTTATTACATTGAGTCTTGTTTTACAGCCACAGGCCACAGCTATAATTAAACACACCCATCCAGACTAATGGAAGGAGAAACTCGGTATGTCAGCCAACTAATTGCTACACTCGGTCTCTCTCTTCCTCACGTATGCACTCGCTCTCTGCTTTTGTCTTTGCTAATCTAATCTGGCTCAGCAACTCTCACTTTGAGAGACCGTTACCTCCACCTTACCCTCCTCCTCCTCCTGCTTTTCCTCCAGTAAAGGATGTTCTGGGTTTAATGAGAAGCTCCTCATTATTGCTTCTCTTTGCTCTCAGCGTTCATTCTTTCTCTCCTTGAGTTTCTTCTGCTGCTGCTGGTGCTTCAGCACAATGTCAGAGCGCCGTTAGAAGTCTGCTTTGTTTAGAGGACGAGTGCTGCTCCGGCACTCTGTGAATTCGGGTTCAGTGGGTTTATTGTTAGGTATGTTTGTCGGAGATCGTGTTCGCAGCGGGCTGTGACGAGTCGGGGGGGTTTTTCTGGGATAATTGATTGAGAAAGTAAATCGATTGTCACAAAATAAGCAATGTGACGTCTTTCAACGGTCCAAAACCCAAAGATATTCATTTAACTGTAAGTAAAACGGATTAAAGGAACATTTTTAATCTTTATTTAGCAGTTGTGCTTAAATAAAGTCTGCTCCAGCTGTAGTACCTGGTTGTTCCACCAGGTGGAGCCTCTCAGCAGAGGTTTTCCCTCTGACTATGGGCAGTTCATGTTGGCCAGCAGAGAGCGTTGTGGGGGTTTGGCTTGTAAAGAGGCACCATGACAAAGACTTATGTTACATTTATTGGTTTTCAACAAGTCGGGATTGGCTACTACTTTATCCCAGTTGTTTTGTTTGTTCGAGAAAGTCCATAAAAATAAACGTGACTTCTTCAAACAGTCCAAGCTACTTAAGTCAAGCGGAATAAAGCATTTCTGCTTGATTAAAGCCAGATTTATTTACGGTTTCTATGTTTTGAGATTTAAAGTATTGGAAAAAGTAATTCATCGAAACATGGCTACAGTGTTTTTACAGATTTCCCTGTTTTGTTGAATTAGAGCACTTAAGAACGTGTGCATTTACGTGTGAACTAAAAAAAAACCTGTATTCTCTACACGGATGTCGATTAGCTGTAGTACCTGGTTGTTCCACCAGGTGGCACTTCTTACGGTTTAGTGCTGTAGCAACCAGAGTAGGTGGTAATGTGGACTCGGCTTGCAGTTGCATGGTGTGGGTTTAGCTAGCAACGGGCACCATGACTTCTGTGGCTGTTAACGACCTCCGACGAGAGCTAATGTATTCAAACAGGATTTACTGCTAGCAGCATACGTAACAGAGCCTTATTACTGATTTAAAAAAACAGTTCTGAATTTGCGTCCCTAGCGTCCTTCCGAAAATTGTGCTCTACCTTTCACGACAAATGTGTGGCTTAGGTTTTGAGATTTAACTGGATAAAGAAATTCGGATTAATTGATCTCTTCTCGTGTTATCGGCTGATTGATTCTGGGTGAACAGATGTTTAATCAACCTTCTGTTTTTCTGCAGACATGATGGAGCGGTGGTGGGCGTGGCAGCTTGCCCTGGTTGCCCTGGCGACCGTTTACCTCAGCCCCTCCCACGGTAAGATGGCCGAGTTCACCTCGGACACGCTCATCAACAACGTGGTGGCCGGGCCCGACCTCCGGAGGGGCCAGGGGGGCCGGCTGTACGTCGGCGCCGTCAACGCCCTCTACCAGCTGAACCAGAACCTGGAGGTGGAGTCGCGGACCGAGACGGGCCCCAAGCGGGACAACCGGCAGTGCACGCCGCCCGTCACCGACGCCTGCGAGGAGGCCGTGGACACCGACAACCACAACAAGCTGCTGCTGGTCCACGCCGCCAGGGACGTGCTGGTGGTCTGCGGCAGCGTCTTCAGGGGCATCTGCTCGCTGAGGAACCTGAGCAACGTGGAGCAGCTGCTGTACTTCAGCGACACCAAGGGCGAGAAGTCGTACGTGGCGAGCGCCGAGGAGAGCGTGTCGGTGGTGGGCGTCATGTCGTACTTCACCACCAGGGAGAAGGCCAACTTCACCGTGTTCCTGGTGAGCAGCACAGTCACACACTCAGGCTGCTTCCTGAGGTAAAAAAAAAAAAGAAGAATATAAATGATCTCCACCATCTGCGTTACCGTGTGAACAAACACAATAAAACTGCAATTTGTAGAGAGCCGAGAAATTAAATTGGCAGCCATATGGGGAATGAGCGCTCTTGTCAGTTATCCTGAGATGTTTCTGGCTTTATTCCTGCGCGCGGCGTCGAAAAATCGGCTTTTAAACGATGCTTTATGACGCGACGTCTCCCTCAGAGTTTCCTCTGTCGGTCGTGTGTCATCAAACTTTGGGTGATGCTTCTAATCAGATCAGATCGTTTCACCCCGCAGTGACGAGGCCTGTAGAGGTTCATACAAGTTTTAAATGATCATCTGTGGTGCAAACGCTCCTTTAAAAGGTAAATATCCTGCATGTTCACCTTTGTTTTGAGCTCTTTGGATGCTACAAACAGCTCAGAGCTGCGTTTTCTGGATTCTGTAGTCGACTAAAATCGTTTCAACTCTTCAACCAATCAAGAGAAGCGTGACTCTACACACTACAGATATTTAAATATTGACATTTTTAATTTAATTCTGTGTTTGTTTCCTCTCTGCTCTGAATAAACACACTCCTAGTTGCTTGAGAAACGCAGAATTTTTTCTTTTTAGAGCAAATGGTTTATTTTTGGCACTTTTTTTAAAATGACACAAAGATTTAGATCAAATATGATGTTTTTAAGCTGAGATTTGGTCGTTATAGGTGACAAAAAACGTTAAAAATTAAATGTTTATACAGCTTCAGCTCTGATAAAAGCTGCATTTGTCGATTTTTAAACACAACCTGCCTTTTTAAACCCACCGGGGGAACGTTTGTACGGAAAAACGCTCCTAAAAATCAAACTGTGATACACAGAGATGAGTTTTTATGGGTTTAACCAACAGCTGCAGAGAGAGAGAGAGACTTTAAAAAATTCAGCTCCCAAAGTCAAAATAAATTCTTCTGGGAGTCGTCAGGTTTCCAGGAAGTCGAGTCTCGGACCAGTGGAGTTGAAAATCAAGTCTCATTTTGTGACTCACAGCCTCGAGTCTGCAGCTGAGATCTGATACATGAAGAGAACCAGATAAAAAAAAAACCCAACCGGAGCCTCCGTCTGACCTCCTCAGAACCAGCTGATGTTTTATCTGCAATCACTTCAGGATATTTAATGAAGCAAAGTTCTACCTTCATGCTGTGGATGTTCCAGAGCTCCAGAACCTTAAAGTCCACAGAGGAGGGTCCAGATTGATCACCTTAATGGACTTTTTCCATCATGTCTGAGCCTCAGAACTTCATCAGTGCAGCAGATAGACACATGACATTTAGGAGGAAGAACACGTCTGAGTTCTGGTAGAACCTGACACCAGATCAGTTCTACATCCATCCAGGTGTCTCAGTGTGAACACTGGACCTGCCTTTTATCTTCAAAAAAAACTTGAGTAGTTTTTACCACAAAAAATTGGTAAAATTACCTCAATGACACGACGTCTTCAGAGAGGATGCAAAATTACTGTAAAAAGATTCAAAATCACCACAAAACGGACTGAAATTACCACAAAGACACACAAGATCACCATAAAAAGATGCGAAACCACCACAAACGCTAAACAAATCACCACAAAAAGGTTCAAAATCACCACAAAGTTGTTAAAATTTCCACAATGACACAAAGTCGCCATCAAAAGGGCCAAAATTACCATTAAAAAAAAACTGAAAATCCCCAAAAAAGACATTAAATCTCCACCAAAAGATTCCAAATTACCACAAATTGGGCTGATATAACCACAAAATGCCACCTCAGGCATAACAATATACAAAACTACCACAAAATTGAAAAAAAAAAAAAAGTTTGAAATTACCACAAAAAAAGACAATATCACCGTAGAAAGGGCCAAAATCTCCCCAAGAAGGTTTCACAGTCTGGACACTGGATCTGGGTTTTGCTAACTGTTTTGTAACCAACTTTAATGTCACATCAGTAGGTGGTTGGAAACCTGCATTAGAAAATGATTTCACCACAGAATGAATGGTTTCTTAGATGGTCCTGGAATGTTCTAGAGGTAAAACGGTCCTTCCATTGTCTAGAACTGGTTCTGACCAACTGACATCACACTTTGTAAAGTTTTCTCTGGTGAATGATCAGAAACAGAAACACATCCAGGGTACCGATGATTGTTTCTATGACATTAAACTGTTCACGCTGAGATACATCCCATAATACTGATGCTACCAGCTGGTTATAGAGGAGACTGATGGGAAACGTTTTGGGTCATTTGGATGCGTTTGAGATTGGCTGGATAAACTCTGAATAAATACGTTGGACGTGTTTTTGGTCATTTTGGTTCATTTTTAACTCGTTTAAAACAAGTCATGAATACTTTTGGACAGATTTTGAGTTATTTTGTTCAAGTTTTTCTTATTTTTGCAAACAGTTCCAGGCATTTTGGATATTTTGTAGGTATTTTGGAGAATTTTGGAGTCATTTTAGGAAAGTTTCTTCACTTTTACGGCAATTTTTGGAAAAGTTTAGAGAATTTTACACTATCTTTAGCTCATTTAGGACAGTTTTATTGGTATTTTGGACAAACTGGAACAGAAACACATCCAGAGTACCACTGATTGTCTCTATGACTCTATATCATAGACGTCAAACTCTGATACATCCCATAATATCCATACGTCTCTTTGGTCCAACATCAACACAGTCTATGAATGTTGAATATTTTGTGCTTTACAAACGCTGTGCAGGATCCAGTTTTCTGCCTTTCTGTCCAGCATTAATTCTCTCTCAGTATTTCATCAGAAACTACCTCTGACATGTGCAGTAATGTTATTTTTGGAGTTAGTACTTGTGTATATTTTGGTCTATTTTTATGTTAGCGCTACATTCCTTAAATGTTTGCTCAGTCTTTCCCTCTGTGGGATTAATAAAGGCTCCGCTTATCTCATCTCGTCTCATATTGATGCTCAAAGTTAGAAGAAAATGAACAAAAGCCACATTTAGTCTCTGGTGATGGAAAAGGAGAGAAATATGAATCTACTCTGTGAACTTCAAGGATCTGAAAATACTCACAGCATGAAGGTAAAACTCTGCACGGCTTCGTTAAACAAACTGAAGTTACTGGAGATAAAGAGTCAGCTGATTGTGAGGAGCTTTGGGGGGTTTTCTTCTCAGGTTTGGTTGCACAGATTCCATCAGTTTTACACAAATTCTGTTGATTTTTTGCAAAGATTTTGTCTTTTTTTTTTAAAGATTCTACTGATGTTACACAGATGTTTGCATATATAACAAAACTGATGTATTTGTAGATATTGGAGTCTTTTAAATGCACAAAATATTCATCTGAAGGTGTTTCTAGAAAAAAAATGAACAAAAAAACAGATTTAATGTTCAGATTGTGACACCTGAATGGGACTCAAATGTGTTTTTCAGCCCTAAAATAAAATCTAATGTCTTTTATCTGTATTTAGGAAGTTATGAGGCTGAAAAATGTTCATCAAAAACCCTAATAAAATATTGTTGTCGACGGCAGAATCAGCAAATTTGGGCCGATTCCTGATTTTTAATAGAAATCAAATGTGTTTTTCAGCCTATTTCCTGGACTTATGAAGTTATGAGGCTCAGAAATTCTGATAAAAGTCGTTAAAACTCTACATTTCAACACTAATATGAGCTCTGAAGGTCTGCTGAAGGTCAAACTTTGCATGTTTTAGTTAAATAAAGTTGTTGTGCATAAATAATCAGCTGATTCTAACGAGGTCTCGTTACTGTTTCTTCTGATTCACTGGTAGTTTGTGAAACTGCAAAGACTTCAAGAACCTGAAACTGAAACTATTTGAGGTTTGTGTTTTATCAGGATTGATTAAAGATGCTGATGTTGTTCTAAATAAAGAATCCTGATATGTTTTGATACCAGACTCGTCTCTAGTCGTGATTCTTAGTTATGTTCCCTCCATGACCTCTCTGTCTGCTCCCTCCCAGGTGGGTAAAGGCTACGGCAGCCACGACAGCACCAAGCTCATCTCCACCCGCATCCTGCAGGACTACGGCGACTGGGTGGTGTTCGACAGCATCATCGAGGCCTCGGCGGTGCAGGCCAACCCCTTCGTGCTGCGCTACCTCCACGACTTCCGCTTCGCCTTCAAGGACGGCGGCTTCGTGTACTTCCTGTTCTCGCGGACGCTCGGCGTGCAGGACACCAAGAACTTCACCTTCGTGTCGCGCATGTGCGAGGACGACCAGGGCTACTACTCGTACACCGAGCTGCAGCTCAACTGCAGCGCCGCCAACAAGTACAACAAAGCCCAGGTGGGGATGAGCCGCCGTCGCCGTGGCGCCGACCGTCAGCGCTTTCATAGCCAGAAAACACATTTTACGTCTGGATGAGTTTGTCTTTTTTGAGAACTTGACCCCAGAAAACCTTCACAAATTGGATTTAACATGCTGTTGAACTTGAAATAGCTCCAATTTATGGGGTCTTTGCTTCCGCTGTACCAACCATATTTTTAGCACAGACGTGTGACATTCAGCACTTTTACCTCTTTCTCGTCTTGCAGGCTGCCTACGTGGCGACGCCGGGCGAAGTTCTGGCTCAGAGCATGACCAGCTCGGGCCAGTACGGACGGGTTTCGGCCTCCGACAAGGTTCTGTTTGTCACCTTCACGTCTGATGAGGATCCGTCTACTTCAGCCATGTGTAGGTGTCGCCGGGATGCTGGCAGATGCTCCTGATATCTCGCGTCGGAGGGTTTTTTTTTTCTGTGCTCGCTGGCAGAACGTCCAAGAACTTGTCAAAACACGTCAGTGAAATCTGGCAGAAAGTTTTCCTGCTGCTTGTTCTCAGCTGCCGTTTCCAGCAGCTGAGCAAACAAAGCCTCCTCCAGCAGGTTCTGTTAAGGAGCTTTTTTTTTTCCTCATCGTGATCTTTATCAGCAGAAGGAGTTCAGGATCAAAGCGGCTTCTTCGGCCTTAAACCTCAGCTCTAGCGCTCAGATGAAGCTGAACGTTCCCACAGGTTTTCTCAGCTGGGCGCAAAAATATCAGGACAAATCTGTCGAAATCTGGAAAAACATCACAACTCCTGCCACGGATTTCGTCCAGATATTTGAGTCCAGCTCAGTTTTAACCGTTGGTGGCCAAGAGCAGAGGCTGCGTCTGGATACCAGGACGCTGAGCTTCTTGCACTTGAGTTGGTTTTTATGCACCAATTTGGGAAGCTGTTCATCAGTTTATGTGGAAATTTGAAGTTTTTAGGTTAAATTTGCAGCGTTGTACCTCCAAAAACGCAAATATGACACAGATTCGATCAGTTTTTCACAGGTTCTGTAGATGTTTTGAAAGATTCTGACATTTTTTAAACAGATTTTATTGATATTGCACAGATTCTTCCATAAAAAGGAAAATACTGACTTTAAAAACGCAGATTTCACAGATTCTGTAGATTTTTCAAAGAATTTATTGATTTTTTTATAGATTCTGTTGATGATGCACAGATTTTTGCATGTATCACAGAACAAAAATAGTATTAAATACACAAAATATTCATAACGCACAGGTTTGAATCTGTTATATGACAGAAAACACTAAAATCAGACACTAATAATTCAAAACATAAAGTAGTGAGACTGATAGAAGTTGTTTCTAGAAAAAAATTATCAAAAAACAGATTTAATGTTTAGATTTTGACGCATGTTAAACTGATTTTTTGCCGTTTTTAACGTGTTTTTCAGCCCTAAAAATAAAAAAATAAATCTCATGTCTTTTATCTGCGTTTCAGAAGTTATGAAGCTGAAAAATGTTAATTAAAAACTAAATTCGTCACCAGATCTCTGAGCGCTTTAAGGTCACGTAGCTGTGCAAACATTCCTACGATGAAGGCAGAACTTGATTAAATGAGCCGAAGTTGCTGCAGATAAAGAACCAGCTGATCCTGAGGAGGTCAAGGTGGAAACTTTATTCACATTCGGATGATTTTATGAGTCGAATCCAGAATAAAAAAGATGTTGTCGGCCACTGTGGGACTTAATAAATGAACTTTCTCCCCTCTGGTGCAGCTGCAGCGTCTCAAGGTCGCCTCCATGACTATTTAATTACCATTAGACAGTAAAATGAGAGTCACCGACTACATTTTTGAACAGATAACTATGTGAATAATGAGTGATAATAAAGCAGATACATGTGCATGTGAGCGGACTTGAGGCCCTGAGGAGGCTTTTACAGCGATACGATGAGTCATTTCTATTTATTTGGTACCACTTCACGACTACGGCGATGTTTTATTCCTCCGATGATCCCTGACGCTCGCCGTAAATCAGCCGTGAACTCTGGACGAGGAGGATCTTGTGGGGTTTTTTTTGGGACTCCTCACGGTGTTTGTGTTTGCAGGTATGTTCCCGCTGCGCTCCATCAACAGCCGCCTGGTGGAGATCATCGGCGCCTGCTACAGCCACCACGGCATCATCAGCGAAAAGGCCGCCGTCTACTCGCCGTACTCGTCCAAAGAGGAGCTGTGCAGCGAAAAACCGGTGAGACCATCCGCAGAGATTACAGCAACGCATTTCACACACTTCCATACATCGAGTAAAACGTTTGGTCAAAGGTGTTTCTGAGTTAAACATTCATAGAGAATCGGATCTTTGCAGCGTTTTCTTTGTGTCAATCTGTGGAGCGATGTTTGAAGAGCCTTAACTAGAGACATCCTGACATTTTATACTCTCATTGATACGTACATTTGGTATTTAATGGTACAACCGAACCAGTTAGTTAAAGATATAAGAC